CCCTCAAGGCCAAGTTTGAATGGCAGCAAGCTGTCAAGTATCCCCTTCTTCAGGCTAAACCTATTGACATGAGGCGGCTTAAAAATCCTGATGATGTCGCCCATTTCAAGACACTACTGAATACCATTCCCCAACGAGAATGGGAGCTCAATGTTTCCAGTCACTCTCTGGAGGTGCTTCAGGATATCAATGATGCTGCCAATGCTGCCTTTGCGAAGAAGGCGCTTCGAGCCAGGAGGAAGTATGTTGACAATGATTCTCTCGTGCTCATACGATTCCGACGTGGGGGGCACAAAGCGCTTCGCACATGGCAAGGGCATGGCTCAGAGACTTGTGAGCGTAGGTTTTCTTCTTTTGCTTTCAGGGTGGTCGCTGGGGACCTAAAACTGCTCCTTGGGACATGTGACTCCAGCTGGTGGGTTTCTCAGTTGCGAAATCTTGAGCAAGCCTCAATCCAGCGCCTTCGTGCCAGCATGGGTTTTGAGCAGTGCTCGCAGGCTCTTCTGGTTTTTCTCACATCCACTGAAACGGTTTTGCATCATCTTTTAGAAGCAGATCGCACACGTTTTTTGGACAAGAGTGGAGATAACATCAACACTGCCATTGATGGTGCTCAGCCTCTCTCTCAGTGGACGGCAGTCAAGAAGTTGCTTTTGTGCGGGGGGAGGCCATCGAGGCCAAAACAAGGGCCCCCACCTCTCCCCATGATCAGGACACCGCTAGGTCAGGTCTTAAGGGAGGAAGACGACATCGCCGATCACATCCAGCAGCACTTCTCGGGCGTTGAGATGGGCAAGTCAGCGCAACCACAGGCTCTGGTTGACGACTATAATCAAATGTTGCCCCTTCTCGACACAACCTTCCCTCGTGATATTACAGTTGTTCCTACCATCTATGATGTAGAAGCGGGCCTCGCGAGGCTAAAAACTGGTCGAGTCCCGGGGACCGATGGTTTCCGAGCTGAATATGGCAAGGCAGCCTCGAAGGAATTGGCGAGACTCGTGACCCCCCTGCTAGTCAAGACAGCCATCGCAGCTAGGGAACCGATTGCATTTAAATCCGCACGATTAGGCACATTTCCCAAAAGGTTCTGGGGATTTCACTTTGGCCGCTTCACGTCGGAGCATTTTGGTTTCCCCAGTTATAACCACTATGTATCATAAATATCTAAGGAGTCTTGCCATGGACTACTTTTATGCCTCAGTGCTATCAGTGCAGATGGGAGGAATACCTGGTCGGGGGTGCGACATTGCTGTCCTCACCTCGCGTTTGCTTTTTCAACTTGCGGAAATCCACGGGCTTTCGGCCGGAGCTTTACGTCTGGACCAGAAAACGCGTTTTACACCACCTTGAGGCAGCTTGTCTTGGCGCTCCCACAGTACAGTGAGGATGTCGAGTATGTGCTCGCTCATATGGATTTGCCCCCCCTGCTGTCAGAAGGGCTCAAGTCCCAACTGGCTACTAAACCGATGTTTGAGGATCGGATTCCATCCGAACATCTACTGGCCGTCATTAAAGAGAATCAGCGGGGGGCTTTCTGGAGAGTTGCTTCGGCATCTAACTATACCCTGCCTCGCAGAGGCACCAGGCCAGGCGCCGTTTTCCCCGCTGATATTTTCAATGTTGTTTTCCAGGGTGTTCATGCTGACATCAGTCGGGAGCTCCATGATGTTTATGATTTCCTGGCTTTGTTTGGTTTACCCACCACTGAGCTATTTCTGGCAAGAGAAGCACAACTTGACACCAGAGAGTGGGGGACCTCCTTCGTGGATGATCTCACCCAGCCCTTTGTCACCTCTGAAGCGGGACAGCTTCTAACGACTGCGCAGAGGGTGCTTGATGCTGTGTATCAAGCCTGCTGCATTCGTGGTTGAATCCCTAACGCTGCCAAAACGGTTTTCACGTTTGCTTTTCGGGGAAAGGGTTCGATGGCATCGAGACTGGAGAAGAACGGAGATCCTCATCTCCATGTCAGGTCTGACGCATGGGACTTTCAAGCCAAGATTGTCACCGACCACCGTGTACTAGGGTCCTTCCTCTCCCCCACCAACAGCATGGCTACGGAAGTAGTTGCAAGATGCCACGGGGCCAAGTCAGCTTTAGCCCCCATCAAGAAGGTCATCGGACCTCGGGGCATGCTCAGCATTCGTAAAAAAGGTGCTGTATGCAGAATGTTTGGCTAGCTCCGTGCTGCTTTACAATGCGGCAACTTGGCTCGAACTCTCACAAAACTTGTGGAAACAGTGCGCGTCACACATGAACAGGTTTATCGTGCGGCTTTGCATCTTCCGCGCGCCAACAACTCAGAAGAAAAGTCACTTACTTTGAGGTGTTGGGCCAAGTTTCCCGCCTTCCTCTTAACGTTGTGCTTTCGGTGGCACGCCTTAGGTTATTAGCTCGGCTCATGGCTGGTTGTCATGATATTCTGTGTGTTTGTTTGCAATATCTTTGTGAGCCGATTAGAGGATGGATGGCTCTTATTGAGGCTGACCTAGGCTGGCTCACCTCTTTCCTTGATCCCAGCAAACGTCCGCAGGACAATGCTGTGCCCAGCTGGATCAGGATTATCAAAGACAGCCCTAAGGCCTTTCGTTCCACCTTGAAGACTGTTGCCTCCAGAGCAGTACGATTCTGGAACGACCAGTTCCACCTTGAGGCGTGGAACAGGAGGTGCAGGCAGCACCTTAGGGGGTCCCCCCTCGAGAAGCAGGTAGGGCCTGCGCCCGCAGTGAAGTGCCCCCATTGTCCTGCAGTTTTTGTTTCTGAACGTGATTACCACGTCCATTTGGGCAAGTTTCATGCCCCCCCACAGTGCGCCCAAAAACTTTGTGGTAGGGACTTGCTGCCAGGTTTGCTGCAAAGATTTTTACACCCCTGGGAGGCTCCACAAACATGTTTCCAGAGTTGTGCGTTGTCGTCAGGCCTGGTTTTTTCTCGGGACGTTGTCTTGGGGATGAGACGGCCATTGCTGCGAATATGCTCGAGATTCGTGAGCAATCCGCTGCGAATCGCAAATCTGGCAAGCAATATCATCAAGCGGTCAAGCCCCCCAAACGTTTCTTTGGACCCCCCATTGCTCTACCAGGACAGGGGCAGCAGCTACCACAGTTCGACGCGCCTGAAGAGGTATCACCACCACCACCGCCGCCAGTATTCTGCCCCTTGCGGGCACCGTGCAGGCCACAGATGTACATCTTACATCTCTTTTCAGGTTATCGACGACAGGATGACTTCCCACACCAGGTGGAAGTGGCGTTAGAGCGGCTCCAGGCTAATATTATAGTCTTATCTATAGATGTCATCAACCACCCTGTTTGGGGTGACTTAACCAACGATAATTCTGTGCTAATGTGGATTCGTTTGGCTAAATCAGGACGCGTGGCTGGGGTCATGGCAGGTCCCCCCTGCGAAACGTGGTCGATTGCTCGTTTCAGGGAACCTGTCCAAGGAGCCCGTGGGCCCCGTGCGAGACCCCCCAGACCTCTGAGGCTTGCATCACAGCTGTGGGGATTACCGTTTGTCTCTGAACGTGAGTCTGATCAGCTCTCTCTTGGAAACAGACTGTTGAGAACCACGCTTGAGTTTGCTGTGGTTTGTTGGAGGCTGCTCATTCCTGAAGTTGTGGAGCACCCTGCAGAGCCTTGGAGTCCCCCAGAGGCCCCGAGTTCTTGGCACTTGGAGCTCACCAAAGACCTTCTTCAACAACCAGGGGTGGAGAAGCACACGATACATCAATGTGCTTTTGGGGCCCCCTCGCGCAAACCTACGTGTCTCATGGGTGTGCATTTTGGTGCCCTTCGGGAAGCCCTTCGGGCTAGACCTCAAGGAGTCATATGTAACCATCATATGGGGCACATTGCTCTCGAAGGTGTGGATCAGCAGGGGGTCTGGAGCACCGCACATGCAAAAGTCTACCCCAAAGGACTATGCGAGCTTCTGGGGAGGACCTTTGCTCAGGAGGCATGGGTGAAGTTTCCCTGGTTATTCGATACCCCCCCACCGCCACTACCCACTCCCGCATCGACTGTGACGACACGAAGGTTACGATACAAACAACCACCACGACCCAAAGTGCGGGTACATGCCGATAGACCGCGACAAGAAGGATGTAATACTAAGTTTGTACCTACAGATACGCAACATGTATGGACTTATGAAGATGAGTTATGGTTAAGACAGCAATATAATCTTGACGAGACATGCGATGAGTGGTTACCACCATCATTGCGAAGATACTACGTGCCACTGGACCCGTATATGGACACGAGAACGATTGGTATGGATTGCATGCGACAAAATAGGCCGGACAGAGAGGATGCAGGGCAGAGCTAACTCACTTTCTTCTACGTTGCCCTCCCCCTGCTCACCTGATGTCTCGCCTAACAGCAACTTTGTAAGCCTCTTGGGGGCCTCACCAGTACAGTGTAGGGACCAGAGGTAAGTGAAGGGCTGGACTATGAAGGTGATGCCGTGCCCACCCATGTGCCGCCAGTGTACACTCACTCTAAAAAGTAGTAGTAGTCCAGTGCTGTATACTATGGTATATAGCTCGACAATGTCAGTATCTGACCCTCTGGGGGTGAAGGCTTCTTTTCCAAATCCATTACCTATTTCCTTTTTCCCTCTTATAGTGTACGCCCACTTTAAAAGGCAGTAACCCATACTGCACTGCATGATCTGGGAGGGAGAGGGTAGAGAGGGTAGTGATGGGTGGGGTTCCATGACCTATGGCTGCCAATCTCACCTGACTTGTTTGCCCTGTACGGCCTGGTGCAGCTGTGTGGCTGCACAGAGCCGAGGTGTTACACTGTTGCTGCTGGCTGCTGGCTCTGCTGCCGCCGCCGCTCTTACCCCCCATCCCCCTTTATTTGCCGTCCACCCTCTGTGATTGGGCTTCCACTCTCTGCCCTAAAGCCGCGAACGAACGAACGAGGAGGAGGAGGAGGAGGAGGAGGAGGAGGAGGAGGAGGAGGAGGACGAATGAGTAGGGAGGGCGAATCCTGGCTCGGCAGTGGGGCCGCGCCCGGCTCCGACGCCGCGGAACCGGCGTGCGCTGCGGGAGCGGAAGAGCTGCCGCCCATGGCCTCCGCGGGCGTGGCTCGAGCCTGCGGCAGGCGCGCGCGGCTCGCGGCGAGCGTGTGCACTGGAGCCGAACAGCGGGCGAGCGCGCAGCAGGCGTCCAGCATCCCGCGCCCCGAGCGGTGATGCGTCGCAAAACGGGAGGATGAGCAAGGCGGGAGGAGAGAGGGAGGAGGGAGGGGGAGGGGATGAGGGGAGGAGGGGGAGGGAGGGAGAGAGGGAGAGAGGGAGGGAGGGACGGAGGGGGGAGGGAGGAGGGAGAGAGGAAAGGGGGAGGGAGGGACGGAGGGGGGGAGGGAGGGAGGCGGGGAGGATGAGCAAGGCGGGAGGAGGGAGGGGGGGGGGAGGGAGGATGGAGGCGGAGCGGGGGACTTCGTAGCCACTTCGGCTCGAGCTGCTGCCTCTCGCACTGGGGAAGGGCGGGGGGTGGGCGGGGCAGGGCGGACGGGCGCGGCCACGGGCGCGGAGCCCGCGACCGCCGGGCACGTGGTCAGCCAACAGAACACCGGCTGCGAGATCCATCCGGGGCGGGCCTCACACGCGTGGAGACTCAGACGAGCGGAAGCACGCCAGCTGAGCCCGACTGCGCGGCGCGACTCCGTGCCTGGGTGAGTGACATCGCGCTCACGGTCAACGCGCTGCCAGTGCAGTCGGAGCTCGACCACAAGAAAACTTCCACAAGAAACCCAGCCCCGAGACCCCAGGACGGCCCTCGATTTTCGGTGCGGGGGCGTCGCGCCTTCCATCGCAGAGCCAGCGAAGCCCACGAGACCCAGGGCACCCTGGAGGCGAGCAGGGCGTTTCTCGGCATGGGTTTCCACTTTGTACACACGGCGACACAGCAAGCGGACGCAGAGGAACTCCACCGAGTCAGACAGCCACGGCCGGGGTGACACAGCACCACAGGCCGCCGGATGGTAATGAGTGCGCCCCACTGTGTTTCGCCTGCGGCTGCGCGAAGAAGGCGTTGGAGAGGTCCCTGAAGTTCTTGCCAGCCTTCTCGGCGTCCTCCTTGTCGTGCACCCGCTCCACGCCCGTCTCGTCGAGAACCTGCTGGGGCGGTTTCCATGGGCGCGGCCGCAACGCCCAAGTCGTCATCGAGAGCCCTGTGCACCTGTCCGAACGACACGCTTCGAGGCGGCACCAAAGGGCATTGGCTGTGATGACGGGGCAAGGGACCAAGATGCCACGAGCCCTCGCTCACAAGGGCTAGCCGCCTACAGTGGAGGCCAGTCCACGAGAAACCTTCCACAAGAAACCCAACCCTGAGACCCCAGGGCGTCCACTGGTTCTTGGTGTGGGAGCGTCGCGCTTTCAAGTCGGATGTGTCTTGGCATGGGTCTCCACTGTAAGCCCTCCCCGAAGACACAACGAGAACAACTTTTCAGAAGGCGCGAGGGGCTCCTGAGAAGTCCCGCCGCCTTCTGACAAGTCCTGAGACCCCAGGACGTCCATTGGTTTTTGGCGTGGGAACGTCGCGCTCTCCATCGCAACACCATCACAAAACCCAGCGTGTCTGCAGGACGTGCCAGCTCGACATCGATCTCGGGAGCGCCCGCCGAGGCCTCGGGGGGCTCGACGCCGTGAGCCGCAAGCTCCAGGGCCGCACCACCAGCCGGAAGGGCGCTGCATCCTTGCTAGCCTCCGCAGTCTGACTGCCAACACCGCAAGGTGAGAGGACGAACAACCAACATAAACACGTACACTTCTGGAGTTCCGCCCGGATTGCCTGGATCTGCGCTAGGCCCGGTACAATAGGTGTTTGACCACAAGGAACCTTCCACAAGAAACCCAAATCGTGAGGCCCCAGGACTTCCAGTGAAGTTTGGTGTGGGAACGTCACGCTTCCCATCGCAAACCCATGGAAACCCAAGAGGGCACCCTGGAGGCAAGCAGGGTGTTTCTTGGCATGGGCCCCCACCGTACGCCGACTACTTCGCCCTCACAGGCAACTACAGCCCAGCCGTGGCGTGCCCCACCAATGCCAACCTTGAGGAAAGGGGGAAGGCTGCAGTACTAGGAGCGCTCGCTCGTGACAGCGCACCCGTAGCACAGCACCAGCACTCGCACGAGAACTGTCGGCGGTGGCCTGCTTCCAGCGAGCAAGGGCGAGCGCACCGCCCACAAGATCAGGCACGAGGCAGGTGCCAGTGGCCAGGCGCACCGCTGCGCCCATTACGAGCACTTGGACTACCGGGGGGGGCGACTACCACCCAGTGGGGGTCGGGCACGACAAACACAACGAGGATGCCAAGTACGACCATGCACATGTCCAAGGGTCCCCACCAAGCCCAGGGGCCAATGAGGTTCGCTGCCGGACCGTGTACATCGACAACTGCGACCAGGCCCTGGGCTTTCCAGCGTTCAGGCCAGCTTCTCTATGTTCGACTCCATTACAGCCATACTCGGCTCCATGTCTGTTTCGCTATTATCGCCTACTCGGCCACCGAGCCAGCCAAGAGAGCATTGGGCCGCTTGCACAGCAAAGACGTCTGGAATAGATCTTACAGCAATAGCACCCTATACGACGCCTGCGACCCCCGACAACGCCCATGAGGAGCATGCTCAGACGCTATCATCACCGACGAGCGCGTCAATATCGTCGACGCAGCCAGCTCACGTTAACTACGGCAAGGCGAGCCATCCGACGAGCGGGCAGAGTCCGACGGTCAAATTGACTGCAATTCCTACAACCAGTCCGACGGCCACCTGGAGAAGACCGCACCCGCCCGCGCATTCGGGAACTCGAAGAACTGTTTCAGGAATCCGTTTCCCACATCGCAGTGTTTGGACGACCCGGGAAAGACGCCAGGAGCGGGAACAAGAAACTGGAATCCAGGAGTTCAAGGACACCTACAAACCCAGCCGCATGACAGAGCGAGAACTATACGCGGAGCTCATGGTCTTGACAACAGAGCGTGTCTGCAGGACGTGCCAGCTCGACATCGATCTCGGGAGCGCCCACCGAGGCCTCGGGGGGCTCGACGCCGTGAGCCGCAAGCTCCAGGGCCGCACCACCAGCCAGAAGGGCGCTGCATCCTCGCTAGCCTCCGCAGTCTGACTGCCAACACCGCAAGGTGAGAGGACGAACAACCAACATAAACACGTACACTTCTGGAGTTCCGCCCGGATTGCCTGGATCTGCGCTAGGCCCGGTACAATAGGTGTTTGACCACAAGGAACCTTCCACAAGAAACCCAAATCGTGAGGCCCCAGGGCTTCCAGTGAAGTTTGGTGTGGGAACGTCACGCTTCCCATCGCAAACCCAAGGAAACCCAAGAGGGCACCCTGGAGGCAAGCAGGGTGTTTCTTGGCATGGGCCCCCACCGTACGCCGACTACTTCGCCCTCACAGGCAACTACAGCCCAGCCGTGGCGTGCCCCACCAATGCCAACCTTGAGGAAAGGGGGAAGGCTGCAGTACTAGGAGCGCTCGCTCGTGACAGCGCACCCGTAGCACAGCACCAGCACTCGCACGAGAACTGTCGGCGGTGGCCTGCTTCCAGCGAGCAAGGGCGAGCGCACCGCCCACAAGATCAGGCACGAGGCAGGTGCCAGTGGCCAGGCGCACCGCTGCGCCCATTACGAGCACTTGGACTACCGGGGAGGGCGACTACCACCCAGTGGGGGTCGGGCACGACAAACACAACGAGGATGCCAAGTACGACCATGCACATGTCCAAGGGTCCCCAATTCCGGCCAGTGAAACAGCGATCGGGACTCAGGATCACGTACTCCTCACGCTCTCTCCCCTGCTGGGGCGCCCCTCAGGACCCATGCCGTGCAATATCTTTGTATCTTTGCAGTAACTGCTTGTGCTTCGAGGCTTATCAGGCGCGGGATCACGCGAGCTTCGCCGGCTTACTTGCTCGACAGGAGGCGTGAGGATCAGGAAGGAGGAACATGAGGACCGCGGGGACCTCCCTGGCACCATCTCTGCCTCTGATTTCCCGCATCCTCCTTCTATTTAACCTCCCTCGCCCCCTCCCCCCCGCTGGACACCCTACCCCTCCCTCGCTTCTCTGAATACGCCCCTCCCCCGTTCTCTCCTCCCCCTCCCCTCATCGCTTCCTTTATCTCGCTGCACCACCCGCCCACGCGCGCCCCGTGCAGGAGTCGCACTGCAGCGCCGGCCCGAAGCCCGACGGGGCGCAGACGGAGGGAGCGCAGAAAGCGAGGTGCCCGCCATGCGCGGGCCGAAGTTCTTGTAGAACAAGGTAAAACCCATCTCCTGGCTCCGCCGACGGGGCCGGACAGGTGAAGCACGGCGCAGGGTATGTGCTTACACATATCATAATTAATATGTTTACATATGTATATGCATATGTTATTCGTATGTGTCTATGTATACGTGTCTATATATACGTATGTGGATTGAATTGTTTATCTATGTGTGTATCTACATCAGGGTGAGGGGACCGAGCGGTCATTCACTGTCCATGGGCGCGTAGCTCCCTGGACGCGTAGCTGAAGTGAGGTTCCGCGGTGCGGATTGTTGTTGTTGCTGCTGCTGCTGTTGTTGTTGTTGTTGTTGAACTCTCACTGCTGAAGAACAAATATGGTTGATCCCCCGTCCTGTGACCATTCTTCTGTTTTTTCAATTGAAGTGCTACCCTGGGGCTCGCACCCTGTTTTTTTTTATCCGGGAAATCACTAAGCTCAAACCGCACCCCTGGCCCCCGAGCTACAACAACAACAGCGGCTCCCGCCTGATATTTCCTCACAATGTATTCCCAAATCGCGCTCTCGCGCGGGAATGCCTCACAATTTATTCAGGAATCAAGCTCTCGCGTGGGACTTTCTCGTAATTTTTTGAAACGCCGCGCCCTGGACATTCAGGGGTCACGCTCTCGCTGTGGATTTCCACACGATTGTTTTGGAATCGAGCTGTCGCTCGAGACTTCCTCGCGATTCATGCAGGACGAACGCTTGAACAGCCCGCCTGCCCGACCTGGCCGCCTGGGCCCTCCTTCCCGACCCGCCTGGTAGGGTCTACCCGCCCGATCTGCCCGCCGCGTGTTTCCTGCTCCTAACCTATGCTCCATCCTCCTCCCTCCCCGTTGTCTTTCCTTCCATCCGTCCTTTCGTCCCATGCCACAGGGGCCGTG